AAAATTTTATTATTTTTTTGTTTTTTTTTATTTTATTTCTATTATATTATTCATTTGATTATCTAGAATAAGATGATGTAAAACGTACGATTTTGTAACGTTTAATATTGAACAACTGCAAGTGCCTCATTGGCGTTTGAATATCTGAAAACTTTTAACTGATTATTTTTCTGAACAGTAAACGCGTGTCCTAGCTGAATGTTTGTTACGGGGGGATCGCCTAGCGGCGATCTTTGGAAACATGAAGACCTATTCGGAGGAGTTCGAGCGTTTCGGACTCGGCCCTCCCTTTTAGAAGTATTTTAAATACTTCTTTTATACTAAGATGTGTCTCTGTAATTGTTTCTTCGCTTCTGCATTTATCTAATTGGTTCTCATTAAATTATGCAAATAACATGTAAACAAAATACTATAAGATAAAAAATAACACTTTTCCAGACATCTGACTATTCTAGATCCGTAAATGGATATTTTTAAAGTTTATCGATAACTGCATTTTTCAGTCATTCTTCAAACGACAATGAGGCATTTGAAGTTGTTCAATACTAGACTGAATTGTAGGAACATTTTACATAATCTTATTATAGACAAACAAACGAATAACATAATAGAAATAAAATTTTAAAACTTAAAAAGAAATAATAAAATAAAAAAAGAAAGTAACGTGGGCTTCGAACATTGATATTGAAGACAGTCTCAAACCTGGTAAACGCAGAGAGCTTTCTACATACTCAAAATTTTACATAATTAAAATTTTGAGTTTTAGAATAGCCATTTTCTGCACGAAATGTGATAATCAATGGGGTTATGGGTTCCTTATTAACCGCCATTTTGAATTTTCCCAAAGCGCCACATGACGTTCGAAAGTACATGCGATTACGAACATTTTGAGCTCTGAAATGATTTTTTTGGTCGTAACACATTTTGGGCATCGCTCTGTCTCAGTTGACGTGGAATGTCCCATATACAGGGTGGACCATCTGAAGTGATCCAGTCAAATATCTCGAAAACTAGTAGGGATAGAGAAAAATGTTTCGTATGAAAAGTTTAGGGTTACACGGGGGAAGTATGGTACTGACCTTGAAAAATCCTTGGAAGGTCATTTTGAAGGTCATTCAGGG